AACAGCCAGGTCCCTTCTGCTCCATACCTGGAGCCCTTATTTATACAGCCTTCAGCTGGGCCCTAATTGGCTGATATGTGCCACAGCTGCTAGGCTCCACAATCTCAGCCCTCTCCCAGGACTTGCTTTTCATAGCAACCAGCCTGAAACAACAGTTCTGAATATAAATAGTAAATAGTCCTGATCATCTCTGTGGATGGGTGACATCACAACCAAAAGATGACAATTCAAATGTCAACATAGTTAAGTATTTCACTGATTACTTTAGTAGTAGCTTGCAAGTAATGTGCTTGCCCCCAATCTCAGACTGCCACCCCGTGTCTTCCCAGATGTTAGCTAGAAGTTCCAATGATCCCCTACCTTGCTGCCAAAACCTACAGCTTCCCCCAAACAGCTCCTGTGCATCTGCTGAATCAGCAGCATATTGAAAGTGGAAATGCAGGGCTGCATAAACATAGGCACTACTGGACTGGCTCTGTTGTTCATTGTTATGGTAAATTAAAAGCTGCCTCCTTTTTAATTTAAAAGAATCAGTCACAGAATTTCCTGTGTGCTGCTCCAGAGTGCCATAGAAACTAGGGAATTTGTTAAGTTGCAGGTTCAGATTTAATAAGTCATGGCATTAAATAAATAAAACTTCAACTGAGTTAGTTAAGACAGACACCCAAGCAATACTTAATGCTGTATGATGCAGAATATAGCAAAGGAAACATATGTACCATATCTGAGAGCAGAGAAGTCAGACAGCCTACTCAAGTTCACTTCTGACTAATTCCCTGAAACTCACCTCTTGTAGACTGTTCAGAACAAAGAAGAGTCCTCTCATGCTTGCTCTTATTTTGAATCAACAAGGCAATTATATTTGTAATTAATTTATCACTGCTATGACCACAGTTAGCTCTGTGATTAGACATGAATCCAGACCTTAATGTTTTTCTGAGACATTGATAAAAGAACACACTTGCTATACCACATGACCTAGTTAATTTTGTCAATTACAAAGTTTATCAATTACAGAGCACTTAAGAGCATCCCTTTTCAATTACATCATTTTGTCCATTACCATATATATCTATGATTATAGGCATCTCTTTATATGCTATGTATGTTCACAGAAAAGAGACCACAAACATGAACTATTGACAGAGGACTTCTTCTGGTAGCTGGTTTATAAAATTGCTATGCTAAAAACATCAATTAAACAATCCACTATTTTATCCATTACAAAAAAAACTATAACCAAGTTATGGATACATCTACATAGCAACATTATTTTGAAATAACTGGTGTTACTTCGAAATAACTTAGTCCACATCTACACAGCAGGCAGTTATTTCAAAATAGTGTCAAAATGCTGTCAAGCTGGAGGACTTCTTAATACTCTGACTCCTGTAACCCTTATTGTACAAGGAGTAAGGGTGCTCTATTTTGAAATAAGTGCTGTGCAGACACTCCCAGAATTATTAACATAGCTCAATTTGCATAGCTTATTTCAAGTTAAGCCCTGCTGTGTAGATGTTTCCTATGACAAAAATCATCTGGTACAGTAGTTAAAATATCCTTCGATACATTATTATTTTATAGCACCTGCTTCATGTCGGTTGTAGGTAGTTCCTTTCTAAACATCTGGACATTTCCCTAAAGATCAAAAGTTTAAACTGTAAAGGACACACAATCCATTATTTAATAACATGCTACAGTCCAACTATAGGTCAGCTTATTCATAACACATTAGGGTTACCTAAAGTTCAGAATACAAACAGAATGCATAATAATGAACAGGCCTACTAGGACAAAAACATTCCTGTGTCTAAAACAAAGCCCACTTCAGAGTTTAGCCAGAACCTTTGGCTGACAGAAATGATTCTGGGATTCTTGGTCAAGTAATCATGAGAGTTAAATATTAAAAAAACAAGTAAAGTATAATATTTGCTAATATTGGCTAGCAGTTGCATAGTTTAGATCCAGCTTGTTACAGAGAATGCTATTGTTTTTATTATCTTAATGCCAGGGATCATGTCATATCAGGGCCCCACTGTGCTAGCAACTGTGCAAACCTAGAGTACTAGACAGACCCTGTCCTGAAGACTTCGGAATCAAATAGACGTGATATACACAGGGTGGGGAAAGGCACCACACAAGCAGAGTGAACAATGTGATGGCAGCAAATATTTAGGTCCACATTTTGTTAGTGGAGTGGATTAGTTAGGACAGGATAAACTAAATGGAAGGCAGAAGAAGAAAGAAGGGGACAACAAGGCAAGTGAGAGGAGGGAAGGAGAGGAGGATATGAGTTGCAGGAGTGGAGCAAAGCTGAGGAGAAGAGACTGAAAGGCAGGGGGTAGGAGGAAGTAGGAGCAAACATCCAGAGTATGTCTTCATGCTAGCTGGGAGGGAGGTTTAATGCTTAGAATGAGTTGTCATCCATAGGTAGAGCCCTGCAAATCTGTGGATATTCGCTCTATATCTACACCTGCGGACTTGGATGCAGATAGCCATGGCCCATTTTTGCAGATGCAGATAATAAATACAAAGTTTTGTCTCTGTGCAGGGCTCTGTACATAGGCTAGCTCTGCTTAAGCTAGAACCTAAAAGCAGCCATGTGGCTGTGGCAGCCCAGTCAACAGCTCAGACTAGCCATACAAGTACAATCCCACCCACCCTCTCGGTACATACTTGGGGCTAGCCTGACTGCTGTTGCGATCACATGGTTGTTTTAGGTACTAGCTCAAAGTGCGCTAGCACATGTGTGGCTGCCTGTGCTGGGAATTACATCTCCCAGCTGCTGTGCAAATGTATCCCCAGCCAGCCCAGCACTGAGAAAACCGATGTGGGGTCTTGACAATAATTATAGTGTTACACATGGCTATAGTGTTATGCACCTGTGTATATGAAAAGGTGGCCATGTATTTCTGCTGGCCGTCTGTCAGTTTTGTAAAGTCTAGTGTTTGTCCTTATTGGTGTAACCCCAAACAGATGCACCAGCCTTTTGAACTAGTGCTACTGGCAGCAGGGCTGGCTGAGCATATGTGTATGTCAAAGACCACCCACAGGCCTGTCAAATGTTGGCAGCCTATCTTCCCACTGTGAGTCATTGTAGCTGCCCTCCTTGGCAGACAGAGCTAGAAATTCACTGACTCAGGACACCGCTGCAAAGGCAACATAGATTGTCAGATGGGGGGCAGGGAGTGGGCCATGCCTGCAGCCCCCTGCACTACAGGGAAGCACGGGATGTGTAGGACAAAGATAAACATGCAAAGTCCATGGAGATGAGAGAGAGAATGAAACAGAACTTACAGGAGTAAGTGAAGGACAAAGCATGCGAGGTACACAAACCATGAGAAGTAACTTGTGGCAATTGTATGAGAAGTCAAAGGTGGTCATATCTGATTACAATAAAGACACTAAAGAAATATCAAATTATGGCCCATCTTCCCTGGAAGCTGTGCAGTTGAATCACTCAGGAGAGATTCAAATGCCACCCAGCTGATGAGCAGAGCACCCACAGATAGGTTGTTTCTACTGGTGGTGCACATTCACATACACCTCAGTGCAAATAAAAAGGTTTTTTGCACATGGATGAAAAGCATCTGCGCACAGATGGAAAGGATTAGAGGGAACATTGGTCATGATATTGCTTTGTATTCCCAAATAACCCTTCTAGATCCCCTGTTAACCTAAAGAATAAGAACAGACCATGTATAATGATAGGTCTGGACTGAACCCAGTTTTCCAAATGCACACACCATCTTCTATCTGAGTGAGAAAGGAAGCAGATCATGAGCTCTTGACAGAATTAAAGCTGTGAGCAAGTCCTGCAGTCTAGCCCTGGAGAGATGTAACCTACCACCCGCTTTTTACTGAGCCCACAATTTAAATCTGCAGCTCTTACCAAGTCTGTTGTTATATTTACCCACTGAGTGTCATGCAGAAATCACAGAATCTAACACAGCAGTTTTAATAGGAACTTCTCCATGGAGGTCTTAAGGCAGCAGTTTGCACTAAAATCTGGGTAGCTCACCTGCAAATGCAAAGCCAACTAGGCTGAAATTGGCAAAATGGAGTGGTCTCTTGACTAGACTAGCCAGGTCTATACTAGGGGAGAAGGTTGACAAGATTCGCAACTCCAGCTAGGAGGATAGTGTAGATGGAGTCGACACACCACTATAAGAGAACTCTCCCAACAATTTCCTTTATTCCTTGTGACCTGGTGGAGTACGGAGTTTGACAGGGAGGGTGCTGTCAATGGTCAATTTAGCAGGTCCTTACTAGCCCCACTACACTGAACCCTGGAAGATCCATCTCCATCTCTTGGTAAGTATAGACAATGCTGGGGGTTTGTTCTGGATTCCTGCACTCTGCCACTGTCTCAGCACGCCTGTTCTTCAAGAGCCACTGAATCATTCAGTGCCTCAGTTTCTCTACCTATCAAATGGAAATGACACTGACGTACTATATAATGGGGGTTACAAGACTAAGCCCCCGGTTTACATGGGAAAGCTTTTTTTGGAATGACTTAAAGTCTGAATTGAAGCAGACAATTCCGCCAGTGGAGCAGTGGCTTTTCTTGGCTTAGCGTACGTTGCCTGGGAAGGGATTTATGTTCCAGGAGTCAGTGCGTTCCCACGGGGCGTTACACGCCGTAACGGGCCATATATACCTATATTAGCCCTTTCCTGTTTAGGTAACGCCGCCGTAAGGCACGGCCCTCCGGTGCTCGCAGCCCCCTGCCCGAGGAGACGCTATAGGCACGCGAAGAACGAGCGTCACGAACACTGGGCAACCTGGTCGCAGCCCGGCTGGTCCCAGGCTGCTCTCGCCCTTCGCCCGGGCGTTACAGCCCCTGTCCGGCGCGCGCGGTTCCGGGGCCGCTCTTCAGCGCTTGCACCTAGCGGGGCTCGGAGAGGAGCGGCTCAGATCCCGGGGCTTCTATCCAGGGCCCGGGGACAAAGGTGCAGCCCCGCCCCTCATTTGCATCCGCTCTCTCCATTGGTCGCCAGGCAGCCCCCGGGGCCCCAGCGGGGAGCGTCCCAACCTGCCTCCCGGCCGCTGGCGCTGACAGGCAGAAGGTTGGAGCAAGTCGGGGGTCGCCGCCGCTGCACCGCTGAGCTGTGCCGAGCTACCGAGCAGCCACCGGGGCGCGGGAGGCACCATGCCGCCTCTGAAGGTCTGCATCGTGGGCTCTGGGAACTGGTGAGTACCGGCCCCGCGGGGCTGCGAGCGCCGGGCAGGGAGCGGGGGTGCAGCGGGTGCCCGGGGCGTCTCTCTCCCGGCGGCTGGAGGAGGAGAGAGGCATGGGGCTGCACGAGAGATTTTGGCTGGAGTTGGCGAGGGAGGGGGCCAAAGCAGAGCTCAGGCCCCTAACGCCAGGCTGCCCCCTGCTCAGCTCCTTCCCCGGCCGCTTTGCAGGCACCTCGCGCTGGCGCAGGAGCGAAGGTTTCACAAACCCCGGCTGGTTAGTCCCCGCACCCCAGTGGCACCCGAGAGCCTTGTGTCCCCGCCTGTGCAAAGCCACCCGCGAGACGGACCGCTCCAGGCGAGTGTGAGGCCGGATTCACTCCGCTGGTCCGGAGCCAGAAGCCTGGAGCAGAGCAGAGCAGAGCAAAGCGCTTCGTGGCAGGCACTGACCTTTGCTAGATGCTTGTCCAGCACAATAGGGACCAACCTGATTGGCCTCTAGGGACTGCTAATAATAAACAATGGGCCATAGTCTGAAAGCTTGTGACTCTTGGAAGGAGCTGTTCTTCTCCTTTGGTTTCAGGATTTTAGTGTTGGGTGCTAGGAGAACCCAATGGTAGTCCAGATGAGTTTCTGGATTTCACACATCCAGGTATATCTCCATCAGAAGCTGGTGGCTCACAGAAGAGGACACATGCCAGTAAGAATAGCAGAAAAGCAATAGAAATATGAAACACCGGATACCTATTAGTAAGAATACTAATGGCATTTTCATGCTCCACTCACAAAGCTTTGCATAAGTGTTCTTCCTGTTTTTTAGCAAGGGAACTTAAATGGCTTGCCCAAGATCGCATAGAGCTGTGGTGTTCAATACACTAACCGCAGGTGGCTATTTGGCAGTAACCACTTTAGGGTATGTCTACACCGCAGTATTATTTCAGAATAACTGACATTATTCTGAAATAGCATAGTCTGTGTCTACACTGCAAGCAATTGTTTCGACATAATATCAAAATACTGTTGAGATGGAGGACTTCTTGCTCAGACTCCTGTAACCCTCATATTACTAGGAAAGTCGAAGGAAGAGTACTCTTCCTTGGACTTCCTGCTGTTGCCTACCTTATTTCGGCTTTATCCCTGCTGTGTAGACGTGCCCATAGTGACTACTGCTTCAGAACTGGACACTATGAACATGGAGTAAGTAGAACAATTGGGAACAGAATCGAGGTTAGCTGATTCCTTATCCTGTGCCCTCTCTCCTCAACTGTGTTCTGAGGGGAAGTATGTATACATGGCAGATGCCTCATGTAAGAAACATACTAAACCCTAATTGTAGCAAATGAGTCCTCTGAGCCTTGGAATTCTGGTGGAGGGACAAGAGGAGGATTCCATGGGGCTCCCAGAGAGACTGGAGTGATCTGTGTGCCCTGACTAACTGAAATAACCTCGTGCTCACTTGTCTTCACAGGGACTCTTTTTGCAACTTTCAGGTTCTAACTGCAACTGAATGCAGATTAAATTTCCCCTACTTTGATATTTAGTACTGTTACCTCTGCCTGGAAATGGCAAGTGCATGCAATATGCTAGAGGCATCACCAGGTGTTCTACACGCCCTATGAGTTTGGTAAATAGTTCTCTCTCTCCTCAGTTGAAGCTTTTATTTTTTAGTGGCAATTTCAAGCTATGCCCCTCAGTGAATTATTGCAGAGGTGCTTATGTCTGCTAATGGAAGAGAAAGATGAGGGGCTTGATTCTACAGCTGTTGTACAAAACAGTAATTCCATTTACTTTAAAATCTGGATCAGCATATGTGCACTGGTTCTTTACACAGATGTCAAAAAGTTCTACTCTAAAAAGGGATATAAATTTGAGAACATGGAAAAAAGTGGGGGTATGCTACTAACACCCATGTATCTCAGAATATTAAGCTTGTTCCTTCTAAAAAGATCACAGGGAAATATTTACATTTTAATGTTAAGTCATTAGGTTTCAGAGTAAACACAGAAATGAATGGACTTTAAGTGCAGTTCCTTAGAGTTGAGCATTATCTGCAGACTTAGGATAGTATTGGGTGAGTGTTCTGATCACTGTCTCAACAACAGTTGGGGTAGACATCTTTAAACTGAAAGCTTACATTCTGCAAAAGCTGATGGTGCCCCCAGAGAAGAATTGAAAGATATAGCACCATATACTGGAACTGTTCAAACCCTGACAGATAGGTCTGAAATCTGATACCTCTCATTAATATGTACAGACATTTTAAAACATGTCTCTGCCCTCCCCAGCAGGAGAACAGAGTTTCTTCCCTAAGGGCCTGTTTACACTGGGATATAATATCATGTTTTGTCAAGAGCAGTCCATGTATATTCAAATCTCTAAACTATTATTTTAGTATCCAGCCTGGGCATTAAGGCAAGGAATGGCTCTCCAAGATACACATTATGTAACATCTGCATTTAAAAGGAACATTGTCTCACACTAGAGACGATAAGTCAGATTTTGAAAAGCAGCTAACTGAGACGCTCAAAACCTATTTTCAATCAATAGGATTTGGGCTCCTAAACATCTAATTCATCTTTGAAAGGGAGAAAGGGTGATTTTGAAAATCCCCCCTAGCAAAACAAATTACATTGTGTGTTTTAATATCAATATACTTCCCTATCTGCATACCCCAGGGAAATAACAGCATTGCTGCTCTAACTATGATGGGCTGCCCAGAGTTAAAATTCTAGCTCCTAACTTAGGCTACCCAAACCACTATGTGGAACTGGATTTGCTGCAACTGCATACAATAGGGGCATGGGTGTCAGCCTGCCCCTTTATTCACTCTAGAGTCTTGTTTGTGTGGTCTATTGTACCAGACCAGACTGGAAAGCAAGAAGCCTCACTTGTACTCACAGCACTGCCAGGAATTTAGTAGCTTCAGGCAAATCACTTTGCTGCTCAGTACTTCCAACTACCCACCTGTGAAATGGGATGATTGATATTTACCAATGTTTGTAGCACAGGTTAATATTTATAGAGGAAATCCCAATGTGGTAAGCATTGTCAAAGCATTTTAGGGCTTTGGTCCTCTGAGAAACTGAGCACCTCTTGCTTTCAATGGGAGCTGAAGGTTCTCAGCACCTTGCAGGATCTGGCCATCTCATTTCATTCCCTGTTTGGCTCAGAAGGGGAACAAAGTGTCACTGTACCATGTAGGGGGTAGGACTAATACTAGTAGTGTGTAAGTCTTCATTTAACACCCACCCACACACAGATTTAAAACTGCATTTGCATTTTCCAATAAAGTATTTTAACACCTTTCCCAGGAATCCACTGTTCTCTAGAAAGGTGCTGATAGACATTCGGCCTTAAATGGGTTTGTTGCAATCATGTAAGTGAATGTTGTGCTACCATTCTGCTCTCCCCATTCTTGTGAATCAGAAGGATGTTGAAATGGGCAAGAACCCAGATCTGGAAAGCTCTTTAGATGTGATCCATAACCACTGAGTCAGTAGGTCGCTTTCCTCTCAGTTCAGTGGACTTTGGATTTTGCTTTTCTTCTGGTCCACAAGAGCAGAGTATGAATGAACAGCGTGGCATGCACACTTTTCTGTGTGCACGTCTGATCCAAATCTCTCGGTGGTTCTTTGGATTGTTTAAGCCCCAAACTGGAGGGCTGAGGGTAGTTGCAGCTGGTGGAATCACATTTTAAAGAAGAAAAAAATCATTTTTATTTGGGGCAAGGAATGTTTTTTGAGTTTGTCAAAACTGGAACAGTGTTTCTTTAAAATGAAGACATAACAGTGAAATGTTTACTGTTAGCAGACAGCTCATTGCTTCTGTTGGCCTCAAACTAGATATTTAGGTAACAGTTCAGGGATCATTTCAGAGTCTCAACAAGACAGTTGACACATGACACAAATGTTTCAATAACTTCTCCCTGCTGCTCAGTGGATCATCCTGACCTTTATTATACCAACTGTGTTAGAAGCCTTATTGCTGATTTGATTATGTAAATTACCTGTCAAGTCAGAGGAACAATAGGTTTTGTTAGTAAGGGTTCTGCTATTTGCTTTAAAAATACAGATTAATGTCTAAATTACAGTATCTGTGAGCCCGATCCTTAAAGCTGATGAATGCCTTCCAGTCTCCTTCACTACAGCAGAAGTTGAGGGTGCTCTCAACTTTACAATACTGAGCATGTATTAGTAGAGGAGCAAGTGTCTATTTAATGTAGAGAGACACACACACAGTCTCTCTCTGTGAACTGCTACTCGTCTCCCCTGGTTAGATTGCTCCAATTATTCAGTATAATTAAACCATTTCAATTCCACTTGTACCATTTCCTATGTGGACACAATTATTCCAAAGTAAGAGTTCTTTTTTCAGCTTAGCGTAAACCAGTTTTAGAGTGACATTGGTTAAACTTAAAAAAAAAAACCACTTTATTCCAGAATAAGTGTGGTCACTCACATGAGGCGTTATACCAATATAGCTATGATAATGTAACTGTAGTGGTTCAAACCCTACCTCACTCTGATAATTTTCCCAGGTAGCCAAACCTATACATTGTTCAGGGCAGGGGCTGTCTTTTTAGTCTGTTTATTACACAGCTTCACACAATGGAACCTTCATGCATGACTGGGATTCCTGGGCGCTATTGCAATACAATTAAAGAAAAAGTCACACAAATATTAATTTTAACTTTAATATTAATGAGCCATCCTGCCCTTCTATCAAAGTTACTGGTAGAGTTTGTCACTGGCTTCAGACAGAACAAGGTTGTTTCATTGCCATCCAAAAGTTCTGCAGCCCATTAATACTAAGAGCCAGCACTTGAAGCATAGTATTATTTATTATTGATCTGTCTTGGATGAAATGGTTTAAGACTGAACAGGGACAACTATTTTGTGTTGATTTTTTTTTTTTTTTTTTACAAATCGAGGGTTTCTCTCTACCCGTTAATGGTATCTAACTAAACGAGCAGCCTTCTATTATCTCTAATAACTTGACCTTTGGAAGATAAATGAGGTCAGATGTTGTTTATGTGGGAGTGCCGCTGGGCTGTGTTTGCGTAAGAGAACCTTCCCTGCCACGCTGTATGGTCTTTTCAATGCTGGTTTCACAGATAAAGCAATTCTTTCCAAAGGTGGGTTACTGCTGAGCTATGAATTTAAAATAGAGCACCAGTTTTTGAGCTCTTTATGTTCAAGATTCCCACTAATTCACAGG